TGTTCACTGGAACTCTTTCTTTGTTCCTTCGTCTTCCTCTGCCATCATTGCCTGAGTCTCTTCTCTCAGGCCGGTGTAGGCTTCCTGCTGCTTGCCGTGTGCGGAGGCAAGCATGGTCTCCTCCCGGGCATGGGCATTCCGGATCTGCAGGAAGAGCTGCCCTAACGGGTTTTTTCTTGTCGCTTTGCTCATTCCTTTCCTTGTCGGAACGTTGCTTCTCCATCACCGTTTCCATCCACCTTTGATCTCGCTCAGCCTCTTCCTGCTTGAGCTGATCGAGGTCTCGGGCGACATGCAGTCCCGGCACCGTGGGGTTTTCCATGCCTTGGTCGAGCATGGCCTTTTCGGTCGCCAGCCTTTCACCGGCCTTTTTGAGCCTCTGTGCTGTCTGCTCTTGGCAGACAGCCAGCTCACCCTGGTCTGTGACGTCCATTCGCTGCCGAAGAGTTCCTGCTACGCTGTGCTCCTGTGCGAGCTCGCCCAGCAAACCACCAAACTCCTTCAGCATCCAGACGCCTCTCAACTGTTTGCTCTCGGTGTCATCATCCTGACACCTTTTCAAGAACTTGGCCCGCCCTTCCTCGTAGTTCTTCACGAGGCCCAAGCTCATCTCTCAGGCGACCCAGACCCAGTCTTTCTCAAGCCACCCCCTATATATTATCCTGCTCGCTGTTTCTCATGGAAGCCCGCCGAGTGTCTTCGACCGTTCTCTTCTTCGAGACACTGCCACCACCACCGTCCTGGCGGTGGGACTTCTTTTCACTCCTGTACCACTCGTACTGCTCCTCCTTCGTCATCTTCCCCAACTCCTGCTTCAAGTCCGCAGCAGTCTGGCACTTGTTCAGGAGATCCTCGTCGTGAGCATTGAGCTCACCATCTTTGGTTTTCTTCTGAGCCAAAGTCTTCGCCTGATGGGAGTTAGGATTAGGGGGACCCTTGGGGTACCCTTTAAGGGGGTCTCCCTAATAATGCTACCTACCTGAGCGATCCTGAGCGATCTGCTTGTTCAAGATCCGCTCCGTGCCGCTGCACTCCTGGCAAATCCGGAGCAACTCGTTTCGTCCCGTTGCGTGGGAAGTCGAAACAGTGGTGGGCAAAGGAGATCGCCGATCCCATCCCTGGCTGGCCTCGCTGACTTGCACAGAAGGGGCCAGGGCGCCAGGCTAGAGGGGTCTCGGTCAGGCGCTGCTTGAACCAGCGCACAAAGTGCACTGATCAGTTAAACTGAGTAATCGCTTCCCCTGAACACTCAATCCACCCCTAATATAAAAAGGGTTCGGGCCCCGCATTCAATTTAAAGGGGACAACATTAGGGGGGGGTGGCAGATCTGTATGTGTTTTAATTGAAGGAAGACACCGTAGTACTAAAGAGAGCAGAGCTTTAGGGTTTAAGGGTTTAGGGCTCAGGGCTTTAATTATAGAAGCAAAGAATAATTACAGCAGTACTAAAGAGACACGAGAGCTTTACTGTAATTAATTATTTACTAACTACGTGGATGCCGAGGGCTTAATTAAGCATTTAGGGTTGAGGGCTTCAGGGACTTAATTAGGGCTCAAGGTTTAGGGCTTGGCTGCCTCATTAATTAATTATTCCTGTCAGTCCGACTCATACCCGCAGGACCCGAACCCCCCCCTAATATAAAAACTAAACCTCCGAATTCCAGTTTTTATATTGGGGGGGGGGAGCGTTTTAATATTAGGGGGAAGGGATTAATTGAAACTGAAGCCTGCATTGCACGCACTGATCTAATTGACTAAATTAAGACATCGAATTGACTACAGACTATGGATGAGCTCTCCGGCGGTGACAACTGTGCTTCTGCACTCTGCCATGAAAAGCTCAATGCTGCCTAATCGAGATCTATGGCTATGCATCGGCAAGACCGACGCACTGCCAACTCGCCAAAATGGCTACTACGGCTCGCCCTGGGACTGGGACTATGGCTATGGATGAGCTCTCCGGCGGCAGCTGTGGCTGGACTTTTGATATGATGAGCTCTCCAGCAGGCAGGCAGCTGTGGCCCGTTTTGTGGGAATATGAATGAGCTCTCCGGCGGCAGCTCTGGCTGGACTATGGCTGGGACTATGGATGAGCTCTCCGTGCGGCTGGACTATGAATGGGACTATGGATGAGCTCTCCGGCGACACTCCTGCATCCGCTTGCCTTCTTTGCTACTGATGCCTGTCTTTCCCCGGAGACGCCTTCGCTTGGCAGCTGTGGCTGTGGATCTGGGACTATGGATGAGCTCTCCAGAGGCTATTGTCTGGGACCCTGGGACAGAGCAGCCCGGCACTTTGTTTATAAGGAGTCTGGGGAAGAAGACCCCAGTTAAGCCCAAGTCTGGAAGCCAAAAAGTGTCTACCAACCAAACAACCAAATCCAAGTCCCTATGCCATGCATGGGTGTATGCCGCTTTGTACGGTGTACTTTATGCTTGGCCTCAACCGAGGAGGCGGAATGCAGTGCCTCGGATGGGAAAGTCGTGCTTTGATCGAGTAGGACTAGGAAAGTCTGACATCGATTACCCTTCCACTACTTTCCATTCTGCTCACAGCAAGAGGCTCCGCAATAAAACACGGATTCAATTTACAAGTATGGCTGCCACCACGAAACACCAACTGTGATCTCTCTCATCACAGATTCGGTTGTCATGAACAGTAGCCGGCGCTCGATGGCAACCTGCGTGAAACCGAGCGCAAAGAGCGGACGTAAGGACATTCTACTGGCGGCATGAGCTGAAATGGACATGTTTTGCAATCTTGCAAGCTACAATGACAATCAAAGCCTGGATCAGAGTTTTGCACATCAAGGCTGTGAGCGAATCGCCAGACTTCTCTGTGGGGACAGATTGAGGCGGCATCATGTCCTGGATGTCATCGCGACGAACCTCAGCCTGCTGCTTATTCTTGGACAGGACAGTGGCTGTGAACGCCGGCTTCTCGCTGTGTTTGATCTTCCGGTTATCCCGATAGACGAGTTTGGCGAGCTCTTCATCTGTCACGCCGAGCAAGTACTCGGAAGGCTGTAAATGTAGCAACTTCCTCAACGGAAAACGACAAACTAGCACAGCATGAGCATGGGCAAGTGATGAGACTGACTCAACTCAAGCTATGTCTGCCGGACGCCGAAAGCATTGCTACCGAACTGAACTGAGCATCTGGACCATGTAGCGGAAACCATGAGAGGATTCGATGCCTTGCCACTGAGACAACAGCCGCCGCAGCGCCTGACACTGACGATTGAAATCTAGAGCTCTTATTTAGACTCACTTGTATATATATATATATATATATATATATTTATTTATATTTATATTTATATTTATTTATTTATATTTAGTACCGGAAGTTTTCGTTCAACTCTTAACACTTGCACACTGTACCACACATGTCTGAATGTTTGACATGTATTCACAGCTTGGCTGCTGGCGCACGACGCAGAATTCGGGTGACCAGGGCGTTGATCCCCTCCACTGATCGCTCGACTGTCCGGACCAGCTGCAACGACTATCAAGACTCTATTGTGACCATCAGGCGCCAGCTGTTGTTGGATAGGTTTGGGTACGGGCTCGAGTGACTCGAGTTCAGGGTGATTCCGGGGATTGTTCCAGATGCGCTCGGTTCGAATGGCCCTGCATTGAGAATTATCAGGTAGGAAAACAACCCATTCATATAGTATCCTAGCCTGCAATGTTCACCAAAGCACAGCTACATGATTGCTTAGTAGTAATTTGGGCTGGCGAACTAAACTAACGCAAAACCCAACCCACTGAAGTTTCCACGTGTACACGACCCAATGTGCGAGCGACTGACAAGTCTAGCGATGGACTGATGGACCGACCACAGCAGTGGAAGCCAGGGCACTTGACGGAACGCAGCAAGCCACTTGAACATGTGCACACGATCACCCTCCGGTGTCTCTCCAATAATTTCTGCCATGGTTTCACCATCTGCTAAACGTTGCACAAGCGGTTGAGGCCGGGGTCAGATGAGGAACCGTACTCTGGCGCAAGGAATCTCTTCGATTGCTGATGATGCAATGTTCCTGTGCCACCCCTGTCCGAGAGTTGCACGGCCCTGCGAGCACATTGCATCTGAACCAGCTCACTGGGGCGCGCAAGAGCACACATCTTCCACGGGAGCTCGGTCCAGAAGTTCAGTTTCAACAAAATGCGACCTGGGATGCTGATGGCACGTTGGGCTTCTTGGCGTGCAACAACACTGGAAAACGCATAGACAAAACAGTTTAATGGTGAGCATAACACGGATCCTGGGTCCTAGGTGAAAGTGCAAGTGTAGGCCCAAGGGTTTTCCAAATTCCGGCTTTCGGGGTTTCGGGCCATGACCAGACTTTAATTTGGGCATTGGGGCGGCGGCTAGGTGCCTTACTAATGGCGAAACAGTTGGAAGCTCCAGCGACTGAAGAGACGCGGGCGCGACGAACGAGCATCATTGAGAATCTGGGATTGCTGATTCTCGCTCAGGATGCTTGTGCTGAGATGCTCGTAGATGTGGTCAAGGTGGTTGGACAAGATTCCCAGTTGTCCTGTGATTGCAACGCCCGCTGCAAGCTCGGGAGCCCGACAGCCCTTGTAAGGGCAGATCTTCCCACTCCGGATTCCTGCCCCAGGACCTCTGAGCGTTGAGGCATCTCAGAAGACAGTTCACCGCCAGCCCCTCCAACCGCCTCCAGAGGATTGGGACAGCATGGGCACTGCTCGGCCCACATGCCGATGTACTCGGCCTCTTGGCACAACTCCAGAACGAGCTGGATGCCCAGCCGATCCAATGAGTGACAAACGTCCCCGTCGGAGGCACCACTGGCTTCGCCGGCTTCGCCGTCCTATTCTCATGTAAGACGTGTGACGTGAAACTCGTGGGACCTGTGCGAACCTATAGTGGCTCCCAAAAAGTTGGAACATTGATTTAGCGTGATTAGTGCTGGATTTCCCTTTCCTTTAGTATAGGGGTATTTCTGTGCCCAAGCCAACTACGACAAT